CTGAGAGAGAAACATGTGGATCCAATAATACATAGAAAAATAAGATGGTATAAAATAGTTTTTGTTTTTATCTCTTACCTTCACGTAAGCTAGCTCCATAGCTAATACCATTGCGGACGTCCTAAGGGGAGCGGCTAGGTGGGGCCATGGTCACCAGTCAGCCAAGCGCGGCCAGAATGGCAGAATGCTAGGCCAATGGATTGGGATCTGGGAGTGCCTTGCAAGCTTGTGAGTTTAGCAACTTTTTACCTTTTGAATTCTTTTACCCACTTATTGGAGGACATTTTTATGATTTTCTTTTTCAAAATTTGATTCAGAGAATATATTTAGCAACCGCTTGGGTATGCTAAATCATGACTCTCAAGCTGCCACTAGCAACTAAGGTGGTGTTTAGATCTAGGGCGTAAAGTTTTGGATGTCACAACGGATGATACATGTGGGTGTCGCATGGGGTGTTCGGATACTAATAAAAAAATAAATTACAGAATCCGTCAATAAACCGCGAGATGAATTTATTAAGCCTAATTAATCCGTCATTAGCATATGTGTTACTATAGCACTTTATTGTCAAATCATGGACTAGTTAGGTTTAAAAGATTTGTCTCGCAGAGTAGTACCAATCTATGCAATTAATTAATTTTGTAGTTGTCGGGTACCATAAAAAGGGTACCCTAAGCAAAAGCCGAAAAAACTCATAAAACCCCCATAAGGCCTCCTTAGTCAACAGTTCACGGTGACGTCCGAGGCCGGCTCGACCGAATCCGGTCTCGGACCAAATCTCCGCCTCGCCCGAGGCCCCCGGTCAGGGTCTCGGAGGTCCCGATCCCGCTCCGCCTCGCCCAAGGCCGGGCTCGTCCCGTGTCCTCGTCGCCTTCGCCTCGATCGTCCCTCTGGCAGGCTGTCCCGTCCATTTAATGCCCTTGCGAGCACCCGCTACGTCAGCCACGACCGGCAGGGTACAGTAACAGGAGCGATGGGACAACGGTCAAATCTTCTTTTTACCATCCCTTACTGACGGTGCAGGGGTTACCGTGCCCTGTGGACACACGTCCCGCACTATTCCACCTAAACCGAGTACGACGTTGACCGCCGAGGCCCCCGTATCGCACGCGGGGCATGTCCAAGGCCTCGGATGGATAACTAACTCCCCGCCTCGCCAGTGGCCTCGCCCGAGAGGCCTCGGACAGGAAACCGATTCTCCGACTCGCCTGAGACCCCGCCCAAAAGGCCTCGGACGAGTTACCAACGCTCCACCTCGTTCAAGACGGGCTCGGCAAACCACCCCATCGCCTCCGCCTCGACCAACCACTCCCACGACGTCATTCGGATGACAGCTCGGTACGAGAGGAGTGGCCGACGAGACACAAATCACATCGACACCATGCCGCCCGAAACAAGACAAGGCAGGAGTTACCGGCCACTGTGCACAGCACTGTGCCCACGACTAAATGTCCATACCGCACTGTGCTGCCTAACTCTAACTACTCCGAGGACAACGCGGCGTGGGGAGTTAAGCTCGGATCCCTGTAGCCTCGGCATCAGTGTGCAGGATCAGCCGCTCCACCCACGCCTCGACAATTTACCTCAGGGTCTCGACAACCTTGGTGTTCACACCTGCCGAGCCCCCCCATGATGGCTCGGCCTCGGCACCGGCTAAGCCTCGGCACTTCGTGCGGACAACGCACTACGACCGGCACGTCGCTCGTCAGGCCCTACGATAGGCTATTACATCGTACAGGATCGGATGTGACCGGCGCGCTGCTCCGGCACTTCAAAGGCAGAACCACTCCATCGATTGTTCCGCCACAGCAACAGGCTACAGGGCTCGGACAGGCCGCCTCTGTTCACACGACGCCACGTAACTAGCGCATGTATCACCCCCATCCCCCCTTCTACTATAAAAGAGAGGGACCGGGACTGTTTCTAGGGACGAGACACACGGGCCTGAACTGGAACACACTTAGGCACATACGAACTCACGAGGAAGACGAACACATGCCGTAGCATCCACACTTAGATCAGCGTCTCGAGCAATTCGTCCCGTTCATCATAGAGACTTGGGGCTAGCTCCCTCTCTCGCCCTGCTTGTAACCCCCTACTACGAACACTTCGGTGCAAGGAATACAAGATCGATCTCCTAGACTGGACGTAGGGCACTGATTGCCTGAACCAGTATAAACCTTATGTCTCTTTGCATCACCATCCGGGATTAGGGACACGCAGTACAAATTTACTAGTTGGTTGAGGACCCCCGGTCCGAAACACCGACAATAGTCTATATTTAATACTCAATGCATGTGTCTAAATATTTAATGTGATAGGGTGTAAAGTTTTATGGAGAAACTAAACAAGGCCTAAGATATACTCATATACAATGTCAAATTTGAGGTTTGTATCTCTATATCTCTAATTAATACTACTATGCATATGGGTGATGGGACATGGGAGCGTTTATTATATTCACCGTAGTCTTGTTTTAGATTAGAAAATTAAAAGACGGACACGGCGAATTGTACGTCAGGGAATTTGAAATATTGATATTAAAGGAGCGGGGATTTCAGAACAGAAATGGTTGTTATCAAGTCACTTTCGAATATCTCAGCAGAGCAGCCGTCACCCGGGCTGGGGATATTAATCTATTAACTATTATCGAGTGTTTTGGTCAACTTTGATACCAATTATTATACACTGGTACATAGGATGAGATTACTGGTGTATGCCTTGATGCAATGTTTCTCCTGACTAGTTAGCAATTGTAACTGATGCTATGTTTTTCTGTTATACCACTTTAATGTATTGTTTATTTAGTCTGAGTTTTTTTATTAATATTAATTGGTAGTTTTTTTGCTTGGTTCTTTAAAAAAATCTAGCAAAGAACACAGAGATTTCACTTCCCTAATGTGTTTGCACACTACATCTCTATATCTGTAAGACAATTCGTTTCGCTGAAATTTAGCTTATACTGATTTATTGTGAGAGAAAAATATTTTTATTCGCTGAAAAGTATTGCTGAAGTGGTGTCGAAGAACATGGCGAAAATCAGGGCCAAGCTTTGGTCACTTATTGGGCTATGTGTATAAGTTGACTTTTTTAGATACAACTTGTACGTTAGAGTTGCACTCTTATCCAGATGGAGGAGTATTAGTTTAGCTTCTATGAGTACTGTACAATTTGAATGTCAAAACCGCCTACATGAAACGGAATCGACTTTACTCGCTATGTTCCTAAATACATGTCGTTTTCGCTTCTAAGAAATAACTTTAATTAAATATATATTAAAAATATTAATATGGTATATAATTAGTATTATTGGAAAGATCTTTGAATTTAGTTTTTTAATAAATTTATTTAGAGATAAAAATGTTACACGTATTTTCCATAAATTGAGTCAAACTTGTGATATGCACACGAACGACGATAGTTATTTAGGGACGGAGGGAGGTAGTTGGCCGTGGGCCCTTGTCGCGTGGCCATTCGTTGGGCCAAAATTGTGGAATAAACCAAATGATCACCTAAGTGTCAGGTAGGCCGTGGACCAAAATAGAGAGCACGAAAAAAAAACTAGCTAAATAATTTTGGTCTTGTATGTATAAGCGACGCGCCGTGACACTACAATGATTGACCACCTTCTGTTTTGACAGTTACGTGCTAGGCTAGCACCAGCTGTACAGTGGTCCTGAAGTCAAACACTAAAAAAAGAGAGAGAGAGAGAGAGAGAGTCAGTGCCTATGGTAGGACGCAGATAGGAGAGAACTAGTACTCTGTTCTAAAATATACGTAGGATTGTTTATTTTCTTACACTTCGTGATTGTACTAAAATCCACTCTAATCCAAATAAGTTCTAAATTGAATTCAAGTACAACCAAATAAGTTTTAAAATTTATTTTTAGATAATGAAAGAACATTGGACTTCTCCCCGCAAATAACTATGACCGAGTTGCCCCTCCCTCTTAGAGGCCTATCAACGGAGTTGTTCCTCCTCTCCAGAGATCCTCCATCTCACGGGCCTATCAACGGAGTTGTCCCTCCTCTCTAGAGACCTATCACCGGAGTTACTCCTAGTTGTCCATAGGCTGATCAATTATCAAGTGACACTTGGGAGAGAGACGGAGCAAACCAGGCCTAGGACCTACGGAGCAAGTGTGGGAGCCGAGAGGCGGGGCAACATAGCTAAGTGTGGGAGCCAAGGGGACGAGCGAGAGGGGCAATTGAAGGAAAACATCACACGGCGGGGGGGGGGGGGGGGGGGGGGGTATCGGATTACATTGAATGGTAGGAAACGCCGGATTACATTGAATGGCCAATTTGTGTGGTTCGAGAAGTAAAAAAATGGATGGAGTTCTCGATTATTTTTGTCTAGAATATGTTTTTAATTGATAATAAAAACATGGCTGAAACTATGAAATAATCTATGAATCATCATTCATATTTCAAACACAAAACACTATATACTATAACGTAATACTCATGGAAACAACAAAAAATAGAACTTCTTACTGAGATTGGACGAATATGTAATAATAATTTAATGAGAACGTGATGAGGATTCGGTGCATCATCATCATAATAAACAGGAAAACATGAGTATGTACATATGTACGCGACAAGAACATTTTGGATGATTAGATCAGATATGGTTCGCACAAGAACATTTGATCCTGACATCACGAATTCCCATCGAATCAATTCGTGCTTTCTTTTTCTTTTTATCACAATATAAAAAACCCGTGAACACAAGCCATAGTACCATGCAGATCGCCACGAGTATCACATGGTAGATGTAAAACCATAGTTTTAAATCTCCCGCTATAGCTGCCGCTATAACCCGCTATAGCCTTTTGAGGTATGTTACGGTTATTTGTGTTCATGTATAATTTAGCCGCTATATTTGTTATAGCTTGATATAGCTTCGCTATTAGCTGTTTTAGAGATATACCGCTAAACACCTTAGCCCGCTATTTAAAACATTGTGTAAAACAGAATTTAAAAGAAGAAAGAGGTCAACCACCGCAGCCGCCGCCACCGCAGCCGCCTCCTCCGCAACCACCGCCGCCTCCACAGCCACCGCCGCCGGAATCGAGCGCCGAGCCGATGATCGCGCCGGCGGCCAGCCCTCCGACGGCGCCGACGGCGAGCCCCGCGGCTCCCGCGCCGAGCCCGCTGCGGCCGGTCCTCCCGCTGACAGCGCTCTGCTGCGGCGGGTACGCGTACCCGGGGGGCGGCTGCTGCTGCGCCGGGTAGCCGTAGGCGCCCGCGGGCGGCGGCGGGTAGCCCTGGCCGTAGTAGTAGGCGTTGTTGTTGTTCTGGCGGCGCGGCTTCTTGGCGCCCTGCGCGCACCCGAACGCCGCGATGGCCGCCACGGCCACCGTGGCGGCCACCGCGATGGCCACGATCGCCACGGGACCGAGAGGGGCGGCGGCGGCGTCGTGCTGCGTGACCGCCGCAGCGCCGACCGCTAGCGCCTCGCGCACGGCGAGAAGACTCGCCCGCACCATGGCTCCTCCTCGTTGCTGATGATGGAGAGGTGGGCAAGAGCGTGATGGAGACGGGGAAGGTGGAAGGGGCAAATAAGAAGGGAGGCTCCTCTCTGATTGGCTTGCGTGGTCAAAGTCTTCTAGTGCTAGTAGTACTGTTCAATATTTCAATGACGCAACTCGATCGATGTTTCCCACGCAGTTGCACCGAAGTCGCCAAGGAAAAATCGGACGCTGTGCATGCGTATATATAGCCAATGAGTCCATATATGATTTTGTTTGGATGGATAAGGATAACCACTAAGAATTCAGGCAATTGGCGCTTACTATTCGTATGATCGTTGCCATTTTCTTCGGAGATAAGTTTCCGCGTTCGTTGAATAGTAGTAGCGGCACAAACAACGACAGCCATGTCATGTGTGATCGAAAAGTTTGGCTCCATGTTTTGTGAACGTATGGACACCGTTTTTTAATTTTCTTTATTTGAAGAATCATGTATGGTATATACGGGCACACACTACATGTGCCGTGTGTGTATTCCCACCCACTTTCCGCTCCAGGCGATGGGCTAAACAGCGCCGCATGATGTAGACAACAATGGCCTTGCGTAGCTCAGAAAGAATATATTGCTGCCGTGGCATGTCCACCATCGGAAACTGCAGCTCTTTGCCGGCCAGAAAAGAATGGATAGGGACACAAAGATATTTTTCGCGGCGGGGAGACACGTTTCGGTGATTCATAGCAAGCATTGGGCCAACTCGGACAACAAACTCAGCTGAATTCGTTCATGGACCTAAGTGGGCTAGATAATGAGCTTCCCGTGTTGTGACATGCGTCCGGAGGCCCATGAACAGATTGTCTGGCCCTACGGCCCAATCCAGCAGAGAAGAGATCCGTCTTGCACTCTTTCTGTCTATGGTGATGATGCAACGGAAGAAGATTCCGAGGATTCGCGCTTGTCGCTGTCAGCAGAAGCAGCCTCACAGATTAGTCTGCAACGGACCCATCGCGCAGTCAACGTCTCTAAATTAGTCAGCAATGGCTGCCCGCGTGCGTGTGCCTGCCCTGGCCTTTCATAAGTCGAGCTGCACACGTCATCTTTCTCCTTCAACGAATCACCCGTCATCAGCTAGACCGGTCTCTCATCAGCTCAATAATTTAGCCCTGCCCCTGCGGGCAGCAGTTGGTCGCCGGCGAGCAAAGGCCGAACACGGAGAGGCTAAGGCTATCCACTCCACACAGGTTAGCTCTTTTTCTTCCTCTTAGTTTCCTCTGTTTTGAAGCACTTGTTGTCGCTCTGGGTATTTGGGTACGTCGTCTTGTTAATTCAGTCAGGAGGTAGTAACCTCATGCAGTCATGCTCGTGCTCCTTCTGTGGATTGATGGAATGATCAGTAACTCTTATCCATTCAGAGATTTTGTTCAGAAAACTAAATTTTCTTCAGAGATTATAGGATAGGATGGTTCCTGGAGCCCCAGCCGGTTTTGATTCCTCCTCCCTACAGAGATTTTGTTCAGAAAACTAGAATTGCTTGTTGGGAACTTGGGATTGCAAGCTCATTACTTGGTTTTGACTGTATTGTACATTCAACTAACTTGCTTATCTGACGCATGCCATGACGCATACTCTAATCAAGCTAGCCCGGAAGCAGTCAGCAACAGCTGCGTGTGTGCCTGCCCAGGGGGCCAGGCCTTTATCAAGTCGTAGCTGCATACGTCCTCCTGCTCCTCCAGTCAGAGCGGTCTCTCATAACCTCAGTGATTTAGCCCAGCGGGCAGCGCAGCAGTTGCTCGCCAGCGAGCACAAGGCGCTAGAAAGAGGACAGAACACGTCCAGGGTATCCACACAGGTGAGCTCTTCTTCCTCAGCTAGTTTCCGTTTCATTTTCTTAAAAAAAGCTAGTTTCCGTTTTGTTTTGAAGATTTTCTCGGTGGTGAGGTGGTGAGTACTCAGTTTGTTAATTCTGTCAGTCATATGTTATAGGAATGTTTCTGTTGGTTCACAGCTGGAGATACGAGCTTCATGCTTGTGCTCCTTGCCTCCTGTAGTTGAGCAATTGATGGAATGACCAGAACTTTCAGAAATTTTGTTCAGAAGCAAAATTTTGATTCCTCCCCCATGTTTATGGCAGTAGATATCTAAGGAATAAAATATCAGTGTGTTTCTAGTTGGGATTGCAAGCTCATTCCAGGCTTTGACTGAACTGTTCATTCACCTATAACTTGCTTATGTGACGCATGCCATGACGCAGACTCTAATCAAGCTTACGGCCCCAGAAGCGTCATAGACATGGGGAATGCAGTTGCAATCAGTACGATACATCGATCTGGCACCTTCTTCTCCTTATTGACTTATTACAGTGGCGACTTGCTAGCTAATTAATTGGCTGTTTCATTTCGTTGTTCAGTATACACAATCATCGTGAACAAGAAGATGAAGAAGAAAATCGTAAAGAAAGTCTTGGAAGAAATTGAGAAAAAGAACGGTGAGAGTGAGATGCAAGCCAGCAGCGCCGTGGAAAATGTGGTGATCGAGGTCGGGCCAGTTGAGATGTTCCTGAACCAGATCCTCAACGAGCAGCCGATGCGTTTCAGCTCCGAGCAGCTGGCGGCCTGCACCCGGAACTACTCGTCGGAGCTGGGGTCCGGAGGCTACGGCGTGGTCTACAAGGGTGAGCTGCCGAACGGCCTGCCGGTGGCCGTGAAGGTCCTGAAGGTGTCCATGAACAAGAGGGTTCAAGAGGCGTTCATGGCGGAGATCGGCACCATAGGCCGGACGTACCACGTACACCTCGTCCGTCTCTACGGCTTCTGCTTCGACGCGAACACGAAGGCGCTAGTCTACGAGTACTTGGAGAACGGTTCACTCGAGAAATACCTTTACGGCGATGAGGAGGGCAGCACAGCCATGACGCTGGAGTGTGGGACGCTGCACGGCATCGCCGTCGGCACGGCGAAGGGGATCATGTACCTGCACGAGGAGTGCCAGCAGCGGATCGTACACTACGACATCAAGCCGGCCAACATCCTCCTCACGGCCGACTATACCCCGAAGGTAGCCGACTTCGGGCTGGCGCGGCTGGGCGAGCGCGAGAACACGCACATGTCGCTGACCGGCGGCGGCCGCGGGACACCCGGGTACGCGGCGCCGGAGCTGTGGATGGCGCTGCCGGCGTCCGAGAAGTGCGACGTGTACAGCTTTGGAATGGTATTGTTCGAGATCCTGGGGCGGCGCCGGAACTTTGACCCCAGCCGGGGCGAGAGCAAAGAGTGGTTCCCGAGATGGGTTTGGGAGAAGTACGAGCAGGGTGAGATTGAGTACGTCGTGTCGTGCGACAGGATCGGGGAGGTGGACATGGAGAAGGCGGAGATCATGTGCAAGGTGGCTCTGTGGTGCGTGCAGTTCCAGCCGGCGGCGCGGCCGTCGATGTGCAACGTGGTGCGGATGCTGGAGGGGGAGATGGCCATCGTCCCGCCTGCGAACCCATTCCACTACGTCATGGACAGCAACATTGGCTCAACTAACTCGGGGTTGTGGAGTGACACGTCACACATACCAAAGTAGCAGAGAGACCATTGGCAGAGACAGTGAGCTATCGGTTAGCCCTATTGTCTTGTACTGTTTTTACTTATTATTAAACAATAAAGGCTGAGGTTTGTAAATTAGCATCACAGCGGCCCGGTGGAGGCAGCGACGCCGGGGATGACCGCCGGAGCCAGGGCGTCGTAGGCTCAAGATGGCGCACTCGAAGGTTGACGAATAGACCTTCCTAACGTTAATTGTGTCGGTTAACCGAAACAAATACGAAATTAAAACTATCGGTCTAACTAAGACTACACCTCTCTATCTAAGTTCTCAAGCACCTTACAAAGGTCCTAATTAGACAATAAAGGTACCGGGCTAGCTAGAGCTCACCTAACCAATCTAGCTTGCAAGGTCACACAAATATATGCAACTAGTACTTCCCACAACAGAGGGAGCTCCTACACAATCTAGTAAGCAAAAGCACAAAGACACCTAAGTTCACTAGCAATACTCAATAACAAGACTACACAAGTCAAATTAGAGAGCGCAAATTACTTAGCTACACAAATCAAACAATGTGACTAACAAGGTTACTCAAACCAAATTAGTCACGTAAGAGAGCTACTTCTATGCTACACAAGCAAGAAGGTAACTAGCTAACTACACAAGTCAACTAATTATAAGAGCAACTACACAAGCACAAGTATATGGAAGTAAATACAAGCTTGTGTAACGATGATGCAAACCAACGGGAAGACAAGAATGATACGATGATTTTATCCTGAGGTTCACGTGCTTGCCAACACGTTAGTCCCCGTTGTGTCGACCGCTCACTTGATGGTTCGACGGCTAATTGACATCACCCGTCAAGCCTGCACGTCGGGCACCGCAAGAACCTACCCCGAAAGTGAGGGTAGCTCAATGACACGCTCAATTAGAGTTGCTCTTCGCGATTCCCGCGAGGTGAGCACAATCCCCCTCACAAATCCTCTTTCGGAGCACCGCACAATTTTCTCACGTGCTTCAACGGAGTCACAAGACACCAAAAAGTCTAGGAGGTGGCAACCTCCAAAAGTAACAAGCACCACCGGCTTGCAACTCGATCACCTAGTGTCACTCGATGCAACCTCACGATGCAATCGCACTAGAATCGCTCACTCACTCGATCGGATGATCACTATCAAGCTCAAGTGAGTTAGAGGGCTCTCAAGCACACCTACACAAGCCACCAAGGCTCAAGGGTGCTTAGCAACTAGCCCAAGCCCGAGCTCCACCTCTATTTATAGTCCCCAAGCCAAATAGAGCAGTTGGAGCAAAGCTGCTGGTTTCTGCGAGGGCACCGGACACGGCGGTGCCTAGCACCGGACACGGTGGTGTCCCTCTAAAAGGTCCTAATGGCTAGAGGGGGGTGAATAGCCTATTAAAAATTTCTACAACAACACTTAGCAAACCGGTTAGATAAATATGAGGCGAAACGAGTGTTGCACTAGCCTACTAAAAAGCAAACCACATACCATAATTCTAGTTTCTATAGTCTCTATCCACACAATGGCTATATTACTATACTAAGTTAGTGTGCTCTAAAAGGCTAACTAAAGAGCCACACTAACCAAATTAACAAGCCCTCACGACTAGCTACACAAAAGAGCTTGACAACTAGTTTGCGGTAATATAAAGAAAAAGAGCAAGATGGTTATACTGCCGAGTCAAGGAATGAACCAATCAATCACAAGAATGAATATCAATAAAGACCAATCAACTCGGAATCAAATGATGACACAATAATTTTTACCAAGGTTCACTTGCTTGCCGGCAAGTTAGTCCTCGTTGTGGCGATTCACTCACTTGGAGGTTCACGTGCTAATTGGCATCACACGCCAAACCCTCAATAAGGTGCTGCACAACCAACACAAGATAAGGATCACACAAGCCACGAGCAATTTACTAGAGTACCTTGTGGCTCTACGCCGGGGAAAGTTTAAGAACCCCTCACAATCACCACGATCGGAGCCGGAGACAATCACCAACCTCCGCTCGATGATCCTCGCTGCTCCAAGCCGTCTAGGTGGCGGCAACCACCAAGAGTAACAAGCGAATCCTGTAGCGAAACACGAACACCAAGTGCCTCTAGATGAAATTACTCAAGCAATGTACTTGGTTTCTCTACTAATCTCACAAAGATGATGAATCAATGATGGAGATGAGTGGGAGGGCTTTGGCTAAGCTCACAAGGTTGCTATATCAATGCAAATGGCCAAGAGGGTGAGCTTGAGCCGGCCATAGGGCTTAAATAGAGAGCCCTCACAAAAAGAGCCGCTGGCTCCTCTGTCTAGTGAAACACGGGCTGACCGGGCGCACCGGTCAGGTTGACCGGACGCAGGACCCCAGCGTCCGATCGCCCGATGCTCATCATGTGTCATCAGCCTCAAATGCTGAGCGCCCGATCTTAACGGCTAGTCAGCTTCGCGCCACGTGTTAAGTTGTGACTGGACACACTGCAGTGAAGGACCGGACGTACTGTCGCCTGGCGTCCGGTCACTTCCAGTAAGGTTCCGGAGGAGGAAATTCGTGACCGGACGCGTCCGGTGGCTCATGACCGGACCCAGGCCTATGTCAGATCAATTCAGCCTCTCTCTGTTGCTTGCGCCAGCGTATGTCACTAGGTGACCAGACGCACCCCCTGCGCGTCTGGTCCCTCTTTCTCTTTAGCGTTCGGTCAAGGGACCGAGGGCGGCCTTCACTGCTCGCCACTGACCGGACGCGAGGTCAGAGTTCGGTCAATACGAAACTTCTCCTTTTGACCCCGAACTTCACCACCCTTGATCAAATATGCCAACCACCAAGTGTATCACCTTGTGCATATGTGTTAGCATATTTTCACAAATGTTTTCAAGGGTGTTAGCACTCCACTAGATCCTAAATGCATATGCAATGAGTTAGAGCATCTAGTGGCACTTTGATAACCGCATTTCGATACGAGTTTCACCCCTCTTAATAGTACGGCTATCGATCCTAAATGTGATCACACTCGCTAAGTGTCTCGATCACTTAAACCGAAAATCTCCTATCAATTTCACCTTTGCCTTGAGCTTTTTGTTTTTCTCTTTCTTCTTTTCCAAGTCTAAGCACTTGATCATCACCATGGCATCACCATCATCATGTCACGATCTTCATTTGCTTCACCACTTGGAGAAGTGCTACTATCTCATAATCACTTTGATAAACTAGGTTAGCACTTAGGGTTTCATCAATTCACCAAAGCCAAACTAGAGCTTTCAATCTCTCCCTTTTTGGTAATTGATGGCAACCCTTACACAAAGATATGAATTGAAATTTAATTGAATCCATGTTGCTTGCCCAAGCATATTTACCATGTGTAAAAGGATATGGATAAGTTTCATGAACCCCAAACGGTAGCAATTGCTCCCCCTACATATGTGCTAAGAGTTTGGATTATAGCTTGCACATATGCTTAGATAGGAAATATAGGAGACAATGTATACCAAATGATGCTAATGTATAAGAGATGGACCTTTGAAGCGTGATACCAATCGGAGTGCACCAATATACCATCCTTAGCACCATGAGTAACTAGACATATACAAAAACTAGAATACCCCATGAGATCAACATTAGAAGTAAGGGTCTAGTTTTCATAATATGATCATGAGTCTAGTTACTTAACCTATGCATGCTAGTTTTTTATTTTATCATTCAAACCTACAACTAGCATACACCACACAAGCATGGATATTAAAATTTAAAACTTGTGCCATACAAGCAAACATATGAAATGCTCGTTCAAATGCATCCACTAAGTTTATGAGCTTGCTCCCCCTACTTGTGTGCTCAAAATTTTAATTGATCCCTTACTTTGTCATATCTCTCCCCCTATGTCAATTTCTCCCCTTTTGTTATCTTTTCACTATCTTTGTACACTATTTCTCCTCCTTTGTCATCAATGACCATAAACATTAAATTTTAAATAGGTTGATATTATCAATGCCAATCAATGAGGTGAGGATCCCAAATTTAGTTCAATCTAGAACATTTGTCAAAGATATTTAACTTGGTTTGATCCAAGGACAAGCTTCTTCACGCCTTCAAATAAGGGTTATCTTGTACCATGTTGAGTTAAACACTTAGAGCTCATTTTCTAGATCAAACACTAGGTTTACAAGCCCACAAACGTGTCATATGCTACCACTAGTGTCGATGTTTTACCACCGATAGCCTGCCATAGGGGTACCGTGGCAGTATCGTTCGGGCTTCGGCGTATGCTAAACTCGATGGTGAACGCAAGAGACAGTCGATTTATCCTGGTTCAGGCCCTCGATCGTAGATCGAGTAACGACCCTACGTCCAGTCGGCGTTTGCCTTTTGCGTTGGATTGATTATGAAGTGTTATGTTGTACAATTGTTGTCCTCTCTTTCAGGAGCCCTGCCCTCCTTTATATTGTCAGGAGGCCAGAGTCCTAGTCGGTTTACAATGAGATTTCCTAGTAGGATTACTTAATAGTTCTACTATTAAGATTACATGGGAAGAATCCTAGTTGAACTAGATCTTTTATCTCTCTTGCAGGGTATCCTATGGGTCCCGCATCGACAAGCCCCGAGCACTTCATGGTTGAGCTCTGAAAGTCTCGCTTTGCTCCTTCAGGTCTTGTTAGGTAGGAACAAAATGTTATCCGAGTGCTTTCTAGAGTGAAACCTTGTAGCGCTTCTTGGGACCTTCGAGTGGTGAGTGTTTTGTGAAGAAAAAGTACATCCATCTGATTGTAGCCCCCGAGCCTCTTGCTATTTGGAACAAGGAGCTGGAGGATCTTTTCTTGAAGTTGCTCTGATTGTTCGCTGAAGATTTGTCAAAAAGAACTCGAATATGGCTCGTTCCGGATTCTTTTTGTCGCAATGTCTTGAAGTGGTCTGCGTTGAGGAAGTCTTTTGGTGACGTGCGCTTTTTCGAAGAAAAAGCGCACTCACTGAGTGTAGCCCCCGAGCCTCTTGCTATTTAGAACAAAAAGTTGGAGGGTCTTGATCCT